GGGGATCGAGCTTACAGCCTGGGCATGTGCCGTGATGGGAATGGAACCGTGTGACCTCATGGTTCATAGGTTGACGTGGAACCAGTGAGCTGCCCCGGTCGGGCATAATTCCGCTTTTTCTTAAACAGGCTTGAGTCAGTTTCTGCTCCTTGCAGATAGACAGCTTAAGACACCTAAGTTTTGATCCTTAGTGACTAGGGTGGTGATGCCACGAACATACATGAAAGAAAAAACTCTTATTGTGGATTTACTGAATTTGACTGGAGTTGAGATATCCACGGGAAACCAGCAGTAGTTGGAAATGGGGCCTGAAACCCAGTAGAGATGGAACTAGAGAGACAGATCTTGCAGCATACGACTAATTATTGTGATAGAAGTGATTAAGGCAGCCCTGGGAGTTGGTACAGAAGAACAAAATATTGGGAAAATGCATTTCAAGAATTTGCCAAAGACAAAAGGAGATGGAAAGTAGTAACAAGAAAAAAGTGATGGTTCAAGCTGGTCACATGGTAAAGAGAAATTAAATAGGATGCCAGTCAAAAACAACATTGGGTTGGGTAATTGGAGTAGAAGCCAGGTGGATGTAGTTTGAGTAGTAGATAAGACATAATGAATACTATTTAGTTTGAAAAGCAGAGTGTGTGGCACAAGCAAGATCATTATTTTACCAAATATCTAAAAAAGTATAAATCACTTTGTTCATTTTTTTCCCCAAATTTTAAACATTGTAAAATGAGCATAATATAATTCACAGCACTGTAATACAAAGCTGTTTCTGAGCTGGATCTTCAAAGATTGCTAGGAGGAAAATGGAAGGAAACTTCAGACACATATATGGTTGCAGATTTACTCATGACAGTTCACATATGCAGAGGAAGTGGAGTTTTCCTATAGAACTCTCATATCCTTCCTCTTGAGCTCTCACCAGTGGGAAGTCTAGAAAAAAAATAATTTTTAGTCCTAACCACTTTAAAATCCAGCCTTAGGTAAAGGGGCTATGTAGTTTATAATATCTTGAGTTAATGCTTAAACTCTGGGAATATTGCGGTCTTATTTCTGCTCTTTCTCTTAAATGGGATCCACATATATGGAGGAGGGAGCTTTATATGACACAGTGGCATCAAGGAAGTCAGTGTCTTCAGTTCTTCCATTCTCTGGGCATCTTGCTGGCCTCTGGTGCCCTGAGCAACAGCTGATAAATTGTGTGATCAGGTTTTTCCGAGGACCCTGGTCAGAGCCCTCAGTAGTTCTTGGCTGACCTCACCTAGGTTTTCTTAGGTATGGAGAACTCTGAGACTTCTGCAAATCTCAAGCAGTCCGGTTGCAGGTTACCTCACTGTGGGCTCCAGGTAAACCTACTTGCTTCCCCATCAGCTACCTTCTGAGTCTCCTCTTGGGAGAATTTGGGAACTTAGTGGGACATCTCCATAGCACACAAGAACAGAAAGAGGCCTGGAAAAGCATTATTGCTAAGGGTTACTTGACTGTGTCCTAGCCTTAGAGGCTGTCTTTCCAGAATACTGTAGACTCGTCTACTGCCCAGCATATTCTAGAATATTTCAGTGCAATAAAAGATGGACTACTGCTACATTAAACAACATAAATGAATCACACTAATATAATGTTGAGCAAAAGAAGTCAGATACAAAACGTATACACTGTTTGATGCCATTTATTTAAAATTATTAAGCAGGCAAAATTACTCTGGTGTTAGAAGTCAGGATAGTGGTTGTCTATTGGAAGAGGTTTGGAGGCACTTGGGGGAAGCTTGTGATTGATTTACTGTCTTTATCTGTGTCATAGTTAACATAGGTGGGTAACTTTGTGATCATCTAGCTATTGACTCAAGATTTTTGTACTTTTCTGTGATTGCTATACGTCCATTTAAAAGAAATATATAATTTTTTTTAAGTTGAAGAATGCGAAAACCAGAGCATTGGTTTTTAAACTGTAAAGAGGTGAAAGGGGACCTGGATTGTAAAAATGCAGACTCTACAGGCTGCTTAGGAACTTTTGATTCGGTAGGTCTGACTCTGAGAATCTGTATTTTAAACATTTGTCCCAGGTGATTCTGATCCTCCACACTTTCTTAAAATGCTGATTTAGTATCTATAGTTTGACAGACTGATCACTCTCTGGACCGATGTTCAAGTGTAAGAAGTTTGTCAT